TTGTTCACATTCCGTAATCAGAACTATTTTTTGCCTTGTTAGGTAGGTCACACAGATTGGAGCCATGCGTATACAAAATGTGTCAACATGCCTCTTATAAAATGTTGTTTCATCGATCGCGTGGTTCAATCATGTCTGACGGTAACCCATACAATTATCCAGTAGGACGAAACCTAATGGACTGGTAATATCAACCTGTCTAAATTTCAACCAGCCTCAAGTTTCATCAGTTATCGGTTTTCTAACTTTAATTATGTGGTTTGCCACGGGAAAGAAAGGGACTGCACAAATTTCTTTTGAAAGCAGGATTTGGGTAGTTCATATAAATTCTGGCTGTCTATGCTGTACGTTGAAGCCATGCTCGTAGACAATGCGAAAGGTTGGGTGAAATACGATAAGTACCTTTCAAAGCTTTATTAAAGTCAACTTGGTGTGCAGTATCGACGGGAAGAGCTAGTATTGAGTTGCGTATAGCTTTATTCAAACCTTTGCCAAACCAGTAGGGAAGGTGTGCAGAAATTCAACCATGAACTTGCCTGGTAGTACGCCCAATGTAACCAACTCCGGAAGAGCAGTTAAACTGGTAAATAAATATGAAAGATGCGAAACAAGCCAGTGTTCTTATTTCTTGAACTAAGTATTGGTTGGCGAGTGAATAAACAGCTGCGTTAAAAGTCCTTTAGAAGGCCCTACTCAGATTTGATAAAATCTTGCTATAAGCATCTCCCGTGAATCTCAATCTCAGGAATACTGATTTTTTCTGAACTGTTTACTTGCTAAGTCCGTGTGTTTAAAAATCTTATCGGATATCCGTTTCTGTTTAGTAGATCACGAATTTTTACCAAGTTCTTCGTTCAGTATTTCATCTGAGTAAATAACTCTAAAACAGTGAACCAAACACCTAAGCAAATTACGTTTGTATTGTGGGGGGACAAAACTCAGGAGGTACGTTGCCCAGTTGACGTAGGTTCCCGATGCAATCGTCTTCATATTGTTCCGTCTGCTCGTTTAGTCATTAGGACACCCCGAAAACAACATAGAATAATTTTTATGAGTTTATTGTGCAACGGCTGTAAAAGTTGAATAGTATGGTGAACTAGGACTGGTCTACGTGGCAAGCCGCCGTTATGAATCCTGGGTAAGTCATATAGTCTAGGAAGCGTCAGTATACCGACATGCTTTATTGTACTGCCTATAAGGAAGAACTGATTGAAAAGGAATAAATTCCTCTCAACTTTTTCGTTTCCCCTGAATGTGTGGAGGGAATTTCCAAATTACGCAGATTTGTTGCTGGATTCTCACCACTATTCACTTTACGTCAACCTTTCCTAATTCTGGGATATCCCTGTGATCATTTCTGCATATGCTAACAAGCTTAACAACAAAGTTTATTCCTTTACATTGATCACGTGGAATTAGTGGTCTTTATGATCAATAACTGAAGTATTTTAATATTTTGCGCAATTATATTAAAATTATATGTGGTTGGAAAGAACCAACGAAGTAAGATAGATGACGTCATCTCACCCTGCTGAGTTCAATAGGTAAAATAATCGTATATAAAATATACTATGAAATGTTTCATTCAGACTTTACGTAATTAAAGGGAAAGCGACTGCACCACTCCAACCCACTTGATCGGTATGGGGCAATAGCATAGACGGTGGAAGATGTGGAAATAACAGAGCCGTCTTCGTTCACTCCGCGGTGATCGGTGACTTAATACGGTAAGTAGTGTTGAAACTATGCATAAAGTTCTGGGTATTAAGGAAAAGTCAATAGATAAAGTTATGAAGCCACTTTCACGGAGGTGGCTAAGATTTTGCCCACGCTGAGCTACCGCCTTCCTCAGCGTGAAATACGGGTTTGTAATAACTAGAATGGAAAACAATCAAGGCGAATATAGTTAAGCAAATACAGGAAGTCAAAGAAGCTATCAACTACTGTTTCCGGCCAAATAATAAAAGCTAGACGGTTCCCATGGTTACTGCTGCTGGATTCAACATAGAACTTGGCACCGAAGTGCAAGGTGGCTCTGTTACACTGCTCAAAGTAACTTGAAAATATATACACTATTTGAAATATTGGTAGTTTGTAAACAAAACGAGCAATCCTGCGAAGATTCTACACTTCCAATGTCAAAATGAGTTACTGTTTTCACACGGTGAAAACGTTTCCCTTCCAAGGCTTACTATAATGCTAAATCAAATATCACTAAATCTAACATTCTATGATATTAGATGGTTGGAAGCAATCAGCAGGAAGCCTTGGGCTTAGGTCTCGTGCAGGTTGACACTCGTCAGCAAGGTGTATCTGCAACTTTGAAGGAACTCATGTCCTATCTAAGATTCGCACTCGTGTCACCTAGTGCTGCAGTCAGAGACGTTACCACTGAGCTATTCGGGCTCGTAATTGACCTGTAGGGCTGCTTTTGATTGGACACTAGTTACTAGTGTGCAGATTGAATTCTACCAGTCAGGTGTGCAACGTGGCCACCATTCTAGGTAGCTCGCTATCACGGTGCACATTAGATGGCTGGATGCAATCGGCAGGAATCCTTGGAGCTAGGTCTTGTGCTAGTTGGTATTCTATAATGAGTAAGTTCTGAAATGATTTGATTATGCGCACAGACTAGTTCTTGTTTTCAGCATGACTGGCACTAATTCAGCACCTTGTGCTCTCTAAGCATTTTCAGAAGTAGCTCAGGACCCACTGTTGTTCCAACCCTGTTCCCAAGCTTACAATAATTCTAAACGGATTATAACCTAGGCATCCATAATGCGTTTTTACGCTAAATGATTATTTATCTACCTAAAATGAACTCACTATTTAGTGAAATAACGCTGGTCGTTCTTAAGAGGAGTAGTGGACGTCTAATTAACGTGACAAAATAGGATTTGCAGCTGAAGAATTGCCTCTATGCACAGAATTGTCTTTTTGTTCTGTAGTAATGCAAATCAGTGCTGAATATGGGCTGATAAGCGAACCCAGTAAGTTCTGATGTACTCCTGAAAATGACTGGAAAAAGAACAGGGTGCTGAGATAGTACCAGTCATGATGAAAACAAAGTAATATGGAACTACATACTACCACAGTACTTAAGTTTCACACATATAGTTATATCAATTAGACCCTTTGATGTACAGCTAACCCGAGCTAACAACATGACTACGGACCTGACCTATTTTCTCTTTTCCTTCCCACCAGGTCGGAACACCTTAGAGGACATAGCAGGAGAGTTCAAAAGCAAAGAAGAAATCATATTGCTGTTGAGTACTGGTTCTCACACCGAGTCATAAACTCTTGGAACCGACTCCCAGAAGAAGTGGTGTCTGCAACCTCAGTTGATTCGTTCAAGAAGGGTTTGGACAACCACAGAAATTTACTAGAAAAGGATTAACATAGGCTCCAAGCCTTCTATCCTCAACCAATAAATCTGAAATCTGAAGTGTTGTGAAGATGCATACACACCGTCTACTCAACCTGTCACAGTATCAAGTAGGAGAAGGAAACGCCGAGTATCATCAGTGCTAAAGTCTCTTGAAAATGAAGATGGCCTTCTCTCTCAGCCTCGTTTGTCGATGTCACTGCCTCCATCCTTGAAATCTCTGCTTGTAGATGATTGGGATTTGATTACTCGTCAGGCTCGGCTTTATGAACTACCTGCCTCCCAGCCAATATGTAATGTTTTATCAGACTTCTTAGAAGCTTCTGAGGCTGAAATTATTAAGTCAGAATCAACTTGTGAAATAAAAGACTGCACTTCTTCTGAACCGGAGAACTCTCAGGTAGATACTACTAAGTTGCCAATAAACCCGGGTGTACGGCGTGAATTTGTTGCCGAAATTCAGCATCTTTTCAATCTTACTATTGGGTCTCATCTTTTATACGAATTCGAACGATTACAATATGCTGAGCTACTGAAACATCATACAGATAAGAGAATGTCAGACATTTATGGTTCGATTCACTTGCTGAGGTTGTTTGTTAAACTCCGAGATATGGTTTCATACCTCCGAGTCGATGATCATAGTCTCCCTATGCTAGAAGCTTCAGTTGCTGAGTTTTTGCAGTCGTCTATTTCTGTGCGCTACCGTCCATCTGCATACGCGACAACTCCGCCTCCGTCTCCTTCATTGTTTGCTTTATGCGAAAAATGGGCAAGCACAGAAATCACTTTTTGCCTAGGTACAATAGTTACCAGTAATAGAGAAGTTTTTGGATCCAGTTGGTTGAATATTGTATCGATTGCATCTGGATTGATTCATGAAACAGCTGAAGAAGTTGGTTGGTCTTCGCCTAGTCGAATTCCAATAATCGCTGTATCTGAGGCATGCGGACAGCTTTCAATCATGTTTCCGATAACCAGATGTAACTATGGATGTCAATCTGTTGAGAAAAAAGTAAATTTCGTTCTAGTCGACGAAACTGATATCACTCTGTCGGGGTTGGCATACGTGAGAACATTACCTGTCGTACTGGTCACATCCGAGTATTTCATTCAGTCGTTAATCCGTGGATATTTAGTAAATCCAAAGTCTTCATCATATTTCTCACCAAGTGCTCATAGACACAAAGTTTGAATCACACAATTGCATCAATCATGTATAGTATACTTAAAGGTTCCTAAAGTATTTCAATTAGATTCCATATTAGTTTGTTTATTAGATATATCACTGTGAAACAGTATTACTTATTGGATATGTGATATTTCTAATAAACAAAGTAATATGAAACTACATACTACCACAGTACTTAAGTTTCACACATATAGTTATATCAATTAGACCCTTTGATGTACAGCAAACCCGAGCTAACAACAATTATTATTATTATTATTATAAAGATGTGATTCAAACTTCGTGTCTATGAGCACTCGGTGAGAAATATGATGAAGACTTTGGATTTACTAAATATCCACGGATTAACGACTGAATGAAATACTCGGATGTGACCAGTACGACAGGTAATGTTCTCACGTATGCCAACCCCGACAGAGTGATATCAGTTTCGTCGACTAGAACGAAATTTACTTTTTTCTCAACAGATTGACATCCATAGTTACATCTGGTTATCGGAAACATGATTGAAAGCTGTCCGCATGCCTCAGATACAGCGATTATTGGAATTCGACTAGGCGAAGACCAACCAACTTCTTCAGCTGTTTCGTGAATCAATCCAGATGCAATCGAACAATACTCAACCAACTGGATCCAAAAACTTCTCTATTACTGGTAACTATTGTACCTAGGCAAAAAGTGATTTCTGTGCTTGCCCATTTTTCGCATAAAGCAAACAATGAAGGAGACGGAGGCGGAGTTGTCGCGTATGCAGATGGACGGTAGCGCACAGAAATAGACGACTGCAAAAACTCAGCAACTGAAGCTTCTAGCATAGGGAGACTATGATCATCGACTCGGAGGTATGAAACCATATCTCGGAGTTTAACAAACAACCTCAGCAAGTGAATCGAACCATAAATGTCTGACATTCTCTTATCTGTATGATGTTTCAGTAGCTCAGCATATTGTAATCGTTCGAATTCGTATAAAAGATGAGACCCAATAGTAAGATTGAAAAGATGCTGAATTTCGGCAACAAATTCACGCCGTACACCCGGGTTTATTGGCAACTTAGTAGTATCTACCTGAGAGTTCTCCGGTTCAGAAGAAGTGCAGTCTTTTATTTCACAAGTTGATTCTGACTTAATAATTTCAGCCTCAGAAGCTTCTAAGAAGTCTGATAAAACATTACATATTGGCTGGGAGGCAGGTAGTTCATAAAGCCGAGCCTGACGAGTAATCAAATCCCAATCATCTACAAGCAGAGATTTCAAGGATGGAGGCAGTGACATCGACAAACGAGGCTGAGAGAGAAGGCCATCTTCATTTTCAAGAGACTTTAGTACTGATGATACTCGGCGTTCCCTTCTCCTACTTGATACTGTGACAGGTTGAGTAGACGGTGTGTATGCATCTTCACAACACTTCAGATTTCAGATTTATTGGTTGAGGATAGAAGGCTTGGAGCCTATGTTAATCCTTTTCTAGTAAATTTCTGTGGTTGTCCAAACCCTTCTTGAACGAATCAACTGAGGTTGCAGACACCACTTCTTCTGGGAGTCGGTTCCAAGAGTTTATGACTCGGTGTGAGAACCAGTACTCAACAGCAATATGATTTCTTCTTTGCTTTTGAACTCTCCTGCTATGTCCTCTAAGGTGTTCCGACCTGGTGGGAAGGAAAAGAGAAAATAGGTCAGGTCCGTAGTCATGTTGTTAGCTCGGGTTAGCTGTACATCAAAGGGTCTAATTGATATAACTATATGTGTGAAACTTAAGTACTGTGGTAGTATGTAGTTTCATATTACTTTGTTTATTAGAAATATCACATATCCAATAAGTTATACTGTTTCACAGTGATATATCTAATAAACAAACTAATATGGAATCTAATTGAAATACTTTAGGAACCTTTAAGTATACTGTACATGATTGATGCAATTGTTTGACGTAAAAGGCCAAGGTTGATAACAATAATTTAGGAACCAAACGCAGTGGTATAGATAGACCTACCTAAACAAACACAAAAAACTTTCACATTCAAACACTTGGACTCCAAACGGCCCACTAAGATTGGATAATATAGAAAATTTAAACAAAAGCACATAGTAGTCTACTTATCTATAATTTTGGTATTTCGTCACCCACACAATGTCACCAGTATATTATGAATTTCGCCCAACTTTCGGAAACATCGCTAATGCAACTGTGTACACAGTATATTCGTGTGGACACTATTCTGGTCATAGTTAAGCAATTAAAGATATTACGTGGAATTTCACCTGAAGAACTTTCTACTCTCTAAACCGACATTGCTGGGCTAATTGCATGGTCTAAAGACAGTCTTCTTAGTCAAATCTAGACAGTCTTAATTAGCTCCCTGAAATAACTGACAACGCAAACTCTTCAAAAATAGCGATGAAGTGTTCAACTGTCTGTACTTCGTAAATATACCGAGACTTCCGCCCCATAGCAAGCCCGGATACATCAAACCTCCCCAAAAACTTTAATTGGTTTTCGACAGACTGTGACAGTATCAGGTTACAACACATTTACTAACTACTATCCTGTAAATTCGAGGCAAATTTAAGCAACCTAGAATCAAAAACTGTAGAGCATCTAGTCCCACTCGTTTTCAAATTATGGTTCATTCTAAACTTCTCCGCACCACTGCTGATGCTCACACCCACCTTCATTTAGATCCTACATGTTTGCAGTGATAAATAATTTCGAACATTATTGACCTGAAACAATCTCCACTCAGCTACACTGTTTTGATTCACTCCTTAAGGTGAAGGTTCACAGCTTAGCAACCACGCCATTTAGTGCCCTTTGGTGTTACGTCCCATAGTTCGTGCGCGATCCCGAACTAGCTAACAACCATCAACGCACTGAGGTTCTGATCCTGAAATATATCTTGTGTATCTCACATATCTATAGCCAGCAATACCAAATAGATGCCCTGTTGGTGAATTTTTCTTCACCCACATAAACCACACAGATCTAGTGAAACTATTTCTGTCTCAAAAATAAAGTTATGCGCTTCAACACGAGCTCTCGACAGCAATACTGATATCTTAGGGAGATATATGTCGATATTGCTACTGTCTTTTATATTATTTCCATGATATCCGTCGTCCAGTTTTGTGCCATAGCTGTAGGCTCAATGTCCAAAATAAATTACGTCACTCATCTCAGGCTAACCGCAGTACCCTTGAGCCAATCGGAAATAGGTTTGATGGAGGGATATGAATTAGGAAGCAAGGCGCTGGGCTAATGTGTGCACACATAAACGGCGATGCCAGGTAACAAGATACAAAAGAGCCCTCTGGGTATCCTCCTTACCCCTAAGTCTTGTTTCAACTTCGATTACCTGTCTTATTTCCAAAAGTTCAAAACTAGCATACGCAGAAGACGATCATTTGAGCACCTAACTGATATTTCCAGGTGATATAACTGACAGAATACTCGGTAGTATTTAAAGACGTACCTAAAACTAATGAGTGAAGATTAGATTCCAAAGAAGCACTGAAAAAATGCCTTCTTGGTGGAACGTGTAATTACAAGCGTATCATTATACAGACATTAAAATGTAAAGTGGACATTACCGATTTTATCTGGGTATTCCTATTTTGGCGCGTAGATTCGGTGTGTCTTCCAAATCACGCAAACCGCTGTGCCATTTATGTTTATATGAAAATATAAAATTATTATTATTTCCTGTGTACGAACAGCGCTCACATATATGCTGCACAGACTTTCGTTATATAACTCATCAATCTGTATCTGGCTACGCAGATACAGAAATTCACATAAGTCGTAACAGCTTGAACTCAGGCATTATTCTTGAGTAGATATGCTTATCAGGTAAGTGCTCTCTGTAACTGTGGTGGGCAGGAAAATGCATCAAACGCAAATGATCCTACACAATTAGCCGGAATGTTGTGACTACTAGAATGTTAAATTTTTACTGCAGGCAATTGATGGTTGTTCATCGCAGATTGCTACTCCTGTGATCTGATTAGTAAATGTTGAGGGTGAGTAAGCGATATTGCCCTCAGTTACTATTACTGCCACGACATCAAAGCGTTGCACAACAGTTAGATGAACCAACGTGGTATTTTTCAACCACCATAAACTGATTCGTTTTATAAACTGGCGTCTTTGACTATCGGTCGGTTTCTTTTAAAAACGACAATTTTGCACAAACTAAGTCCATGCGTTTTACTAACTGTGTGATGGTTACACCAATAGAAAGACGAAGTCAATTCAGAATTCTTTTATATGAGAACAATGAGTGATTGGAGTGCCTTCGATGGACATTGTATGGACTTAACCAAAGAGAGGTATATCCGAATGCTAAAAGGAAGCTTACTCAGTTAGGATGGAAGTACTTGCTCAACTGCATGTCACATTTCGAAAATAGTTTCTCAAGATGGGCAGCTGACCTTCTTACTTCTTTGGCAGTTTTTTAACATATCATTTTCCCTGAACTTATAAAATCAGTTTCGACTGCTCCAGTCATTTTGGTAAAGTTATATGAAAGTAATACACATGAATATTATGTGCTTTTACAAGCTTTAAGCTACCCAAGACACGTGCAAATCATTGCAGCTCAGTATTTGCACGCATCATATACGGCTGACCACAAAGTATCCTGATCCCTATCACATTACAGTTAGCACTGCTTAGAGAACTTAAAGTGAAACAGTTGACTTCAGAATAGCGTGTGCTAGCGCGGTAATAAAAGACATTTAAAGTTCTTAAATGAATCAAATTGCGTGCCCCAAGCAGTAAATGAGTATTTGACTTAGTACGAGTAATATCTTCTTTCATTACTTGTGTCTTCCTATACCGCACATGCATAAAATCATCCTGTTCAAAAAGGGCAAGTGTATCTGGTGAGCTGTAGTGAGGTAGGCTGTTTTAGCGGTAACGATTCCGCTGCCAGTGTCAACTGAGTAAGCGTTTTAGAGATAAACATGGATGATATTGATGAAAACACTAATACGGAATCAATCTGAAGATCTGAGAGGCTAGCAAATTAACCCAGATCGCTCGTAAGTATTCAGAACGGTATTTGACTTGTGAAGAACGTGGTGAATTTCTGTTCCTATCATCGTACTGTGTTCACTAGAGTTTGTTTTATTCATTGTAAACGCAAATAAACAGTTTGTTATCATGGATGCAAATTATTTTTATTATAGCTTGAAACCACACGGTATTTTTGGTACAAGTATGGAATTTTCAGCATGTGATATCGGTAGCCCAAATTTTTCAGGCCACCCATAGATATCAGGTGTGCGTTGGCAGGGGGTCGAACTCCGGACCATGTGCACGGTCGACCAGAGTCCTAACCGCTGTGCCACCAACACACAAATTCCTGACTTTTGTCAATTTTGCGCTGCTTTCTGTTTTACAGGCGATCAGTTATTGTTTACTACGACTACAAGTAAGTATCATGAAGATAATATACCTGCATAAGGGGAATAATTTGGTGTAAAGTGGTGTAAAATAAATAATTATCACATTGGTAGTGTAGTGTAATAATGTATACTTATCCTAACAGTATAACAGTGCTCATCCCTAATATTCAGTCCTGACTTATTTCTGATTTACAACTGTCTTCGATTGAAATGCTTGGAAATTAATGTATTGAGATGAAAATAGTGATTGTAGTCTGACATCAGTCAGCCGCATACCCAATATGCCAACGAAAATACTCCAAAAATCTCCACCTAATTGCCAAATGGCATTTAATGTAATCTGAAAGAAAACTTAGAGATTCTGCAATGACTTTAGCTCATACTGAAATTTTCCCAGGCTACTGAGACTACGGAAAAGAATTTTCGCCAAGCCAATTTTCGGATATGATGCATGCAGCCCACTTCATAATCTCTTCATGGTATTACTCAGGCGAATATTCAGTCATAATTTTTTTCCGCCGTAGTACCAGTGCTCTATTGTAATATTAGATATCCCGAAATATCTACCGCGGAGGCATCAAATGTACATATCTTATGACTGACAATAAGTCCATTTCCCTGAAGAGGTCAGAATAGGTTATCATTATGGTCTGTTACAGGCGCCAAGCGAATAACCCCTGGGGATACAGAATTGCAGTATTCGCCCAAACCGAAGTGAAACAAACTGTTCCAAAGAAACTCAACGAAATCCAAAATAGACCAAATGGTTCCAAACACAAATGAGGAAAGACAAACACAAAAACTAAATGGTTTCAAATAAAATTATGTTGACAACAGCATGTTGAAGGACTGGAAGAATATCGTTCTTTTAAATGAAGTGTGTCAGATAAACATGGTACTAACTTTCAAATATGAGCTTATCTGGCGTTCAAACACACAAAGTACAATTGCTGTACCCTGGGTTAGTCCGCGATTAACAAATTGTTAATTCGAACATGAAATGTGCAATGGTCCAATGAAGCACAAACTGTC